CGTGGTTCAAGTCAGCGAGTCCATCTGATAACTCACAAACTTCAATTTCAAGACACAGTTTCAGTGTTGTGATGGAAGTAAATAAAACTATAGATAGGCAAAAGAGGCCCATATCGTGAATAGGGCAGATTATAAGTTAATAAATGCTACTAGTGCGAGCTTTTTCGGCCCCGCATGTTCTTTGTCGCGCAGTGAGGGGTTGACTGCGCATTTTGGGCCAATTAGATTTTGTTTGTCAAACACTTTAACGATTGAGAGATTAGTTTTAGTTAGTACATTGTAGAACTATAATAAGATCACATTGCTCTTAATTAATAATAATAGTTTTATTCCAGTAAGCCTCAAACCTCACACGTGACTCTGAAATTTCGGACGGTATTTTATTGAAATATATAATTCCTTATCGCGATTAATTACTTGGAATTTTTGCAATTAGAATAGAGGCATGATTAATTTATCTTTATTTCTAGTATTATATTTGTGCATTTCGCTGTGTTTCGTAAATTCAGTAATATTTTGATGGACACATAAAATAGAATTAGGACGGAGCTCTCGGCTCTCTTTTTAACCGACTTCTTAAAGAGGAGGAGGCTCTCAATTGGACTGTATTTTTTTTCGTATGTATGTTACGCGATAACTTTTGCTTTTTAATAACGCGATGGCTTTTGTGAACCGATTTTGATGATTCTTGTTTGTCGGGAAGAGGGTACCTCAGTATTGGTTCCATTTATTTTATTTTAATTTGAAGAAAACATTCCACCTCCAAGGGTGGCAAACTAGGGGATGAATGACTTTTAAGTTTAGTACCAGTAAAGCTCGTTGTGAAAGAGTGTATCCAGGGAAGTACTGCCAGTTTACTTATTTCTACCGCCAAGCAGTACTTAGTAGCTTAAGATGACAAGTCCTATGCGCCTGTAATTTCACCAGCACCCTTTCCCTTCAAAACCGGAACGCAGTAATGCTCACGTTATTGCTAAGCGGCAGAAATAGGAAGGTAGTAGCTAGTGTTACTAAATTTACAATAACATTTTACCAGTGGTATCTGTCCTCAACACGTCTGATTCTTCTACAATGTTTATTACTTATACATTAGAAGCCGACGTCCCTTCGAAATTTGGCAGAACAGTAAGTAACAAGAAATCGGTCCCCTCATCATCGACACTTTGATGAAACAATCGCGGGGTGAAAGGGTGAACGGACGTAATCTTGATTGATCTTCTACTAATAACACTGTGGGAGATTACTGACTGATTCTTTGGATAGAATATTGAATAACATGGCGTTGGAAATGCCTGTTAAGAATAGCGCGTTTGATTTGCGAATCTTATGTGTTTTGCTACAAAACTTGTGACGATGTTCACCTTCATCGTCATTGTACCTTTTTATCACACTCTTTACAGGTTCCTGGCTAAAATTTTGAATTGTTCTCGAATTTCCTCTTCCTTCCGCTATTCTTGACGTTGGGTCGTTCCGTCATCGTTTACATCAAAATTCTCAAAATGAGAGGACGTGCTCATAGATCATCTTCATGTTAAACTCAGACTTAATGTGATTTACTGTCATTGACTTACAAATAAATGGACGACGGGTCTAATACAAAAACCACGAAAAAAATGTCCCAAGTCAACCTATTCGAAATTTAAATTGTAATGTCATCGCAGTATCGCGCTGTCAGTAGAACAAATGAAGACTAAAGCGGAGTTTGGCGCTCTGTATACGATTTTAGCGCCTTACAAGTGCGGACACTTTTTAGCGCGGACCCGACGTCCATATAATTGTAAGTCAATGTTTACTGTTTTTAAATCATAATATATAGCATATAGGCCCTTTGGGGCTTTTCGTTTCTACTTGCCAATAAATTGATGTGGACCGAATCTTTTCTACCGTTAATGCTAGGCCACTTAGGTACTTAAGGCGAAATGGTATCGTGGGCTTTTTAAAGAATGTAAGGTAGACGTAGAATATTTGCCTTTTTAGGTATAACATATACTCTCTTACTGTAAAATACGTTCGTAGTCCCCGGACGGAACACAAAAGAGAAGTATTCATTGAAATATCTCTATAACCATTGAATCAGATTTAAAAAAAAAAACGGACGAGGTTCTTAATTCCAATTTTTTTTTTGAGTATATTACGCAATTACTCTGAAATCTGTGAACACGATTTCGATAATTATTTTTTGTTGAAAAGGGACTACCTCAGTAGTGGTCTAATTCAAGTTTGATGGAAATATTCCACCTCTAAGGATGGCAAATTAAGGAATGAACCCGGTTTATTTCCGTGAATAATCGCAGTAGAATATGAAAATTTTTGAGAACTTTGTGTTGTTTATTATTCAGCAAAGTTTTAGTCAAGTGTGTTACGGGCCTTATAGTTCACTACAGGTATATAATATTATATATACAGGTATTTTCTGTCTTCATTTTCAATTTAAAAATCAAGTTGAATTCGTATTTGTTAAAATTGTAAAACCGTTTTACGCTCTATGAACCTATATAGACTCCTTTATCATCGTAGGTAACTTATAATCTGAACGGAAAAAAGTTCTTTACTTTGTACGATTTATATTTTTATAGTTTATGTTGTTGATGTGGGTACATAAATTGTTTCCGTTAATATTGTAAGTTTCGTTTGTTAGTAGTGTAAAGAACGGCAGGCTGATTACGTAAAAAATAGCAATCAGCAATAATCGCGCAGTGATCGCGCAATGATCGTGCGATCCATTGCTAAGAGCGTATTACGTATGTTATCGCTGGCTAATCGCTCGCTGATTGTTTAAATGCACTTTTTGCTGACTTTGACAACAACACTAGCGCCAAAAGCAATTTAGTAGCAATCACAGGAACTATTTTTGGAATGTCAAGTTCTAACAGATGAATTCGCGCCGCGCTCGCCTATTTTATAAACAAATATGAAAAAACTTATTAGAAAAAATAACTTGGCGTCGATTTCAAGTGGTAAAGTTTGTGTTACAAGTGGTTGAGTCCCCATCAGCATTGAATCAGTGTATTCATTTTATTTCGTGAGCAAACATCTTCATCACCTCTCTCAAAGTAAGTAACAGTGGTACCTATTTACCTAGAAAATAAAATAGCTGCAAAGTTTATTTTTTAACTTTAATGTCCTGTGTTTTAGAAATGGCCAACAGAGTCTCTAACGACCAATTGGAGGAATTGTTGGGGTTCCTTGCGGACCATCCCACAATAGCGAAAGGAGTGGGGCTTGGAGCAAGGTCCAAAGAAGCCATTGATAAACAGTGGAATGACCTTGCTATTAGGCTAAATTCGTATGGCTCGGGATCTTCAAAGTCTGGAGAACGGTGGAAAAAGGTAAGGTCCCTTTTGTTGTATTTTTCTAAAGATGCTAGATCTTTTTACTTTAACTTTTTGTTTAAATTATTAACTTCTTCTTACCTAATACTTTCTTTTGATTTTCATAGTACTGGGCTGACTTAAAACATAAAAGCAAAACGAGACTTGCTAAAAGGAGGCGGGATGCTGTGGGTACCGGTGGTGGTCCTAGTAGCCAAGATGATCTTTCAGAGATTGACAAGAAAGTCTTGGCTATTATTGGAGAGCAGGCTGTGTTTGGTGATACAGTGCATAGAGTCCCTTTATTTGTAAGTAATTGTAACATCTTCAACATTTTACTTTTATGTAAAAACTAGTTTTATAGTTTAATATTTTTGTTCAGTTAATTTTTGCATTAAATGTTTTCATTTATTATTTTCAGAATGTTGTAACTGAAACACAGCAGCAGCAGCAAGAAGAACAAGAGACCAGTGTTTCCCTGCCATTAGTAGATCTAGAAATACTAAATAGTAAGTTCATCCATGTTATATATTACATTCTCTTATTTTTTTTCTTCTATATTGTTATAACTTACATAATCACTGTATATGTAGAGATTTTTTAATTATTATTTATTACACTGAGTGTTTATATAAGCTAAACTGGGATACTTCTTCTGCTTTGGGCTTGGAAGAGCTTGCTAAGGATAAAACCCATAACACGTTTTGTTGAAACATACTTTCACTTCTTTGAATCCCCGGGCCACTTAAGATAAATAATTTGTTAGATATTTTTAAGTATTATTTTAAGATATATTATAAATTTACAGGTGAGTCAGAGAATTTTAACATGGAGTTAAGACCACCACTTCTGGTAAATTCTCCTCAAGAAGAGACCTCAAGACAAGGACAAACCACCCAAGTTTGTATGTAGAGTAGTATTCATACTAAGTATACATATATATAATAAAGTAGTAACTGTTTTTTACTATAAGTCTTTTTACAGTTACAGATAACCCTACTGAGATTGGCCCACCAGCTGAGAACACAGTTAGACAGACTCAGCAGCCACAACAATGTGGTATAATTAGTTTTCCTTTGCGATCTTTACTATTTTTATTAAAAAACTATAAAAGAGATAACATAAGTTTATTTTTACAGGTGTGGAGAGTCATGTCAGTCGGACAGTTGCTGAACGCCCTCGCCTTAGACGTAACAGAGCTAATATTTCAAGTGAGTAGTTAATAATCAATAATTATAAACATATTACTAAATCTATCAATGGAAAAATAGAGTGTAAGGGCGTAATGTATTGTATTAAATTAAACACTCAACTCTTTATTTCAGATCCATCTAGAATTAGCCCTGAATGGGTGATGGAGTTAGAAAGAAGCAGGGTTGAAGCAGAAAATAAGCTTGCCAATGCTGCTTTAATAATGGCAGAGGCGGCCAAAATTCAAGCTGAAACCCTGAAACAACTGCTGGAGATTGTGCGAATACAGTCTGGAGACATCAACGAAATTTTGAAAATGATGTGCAACTCTCAAAAGCAATAAACAAAATTTTGAATAGTTTAATTAAAATTGAAATTAATTTTTAACATTTGTTCTTTTGTATTATAGTAAGTTGATAAAAATAAGTAGCTGGTAGGGATTTTACAT